TGACACACAAACGTGTCTACCCCGCGCCCCCCTCCCCAGGCCAGCTCCCTTCCGATCGCCCTAGCAGGACTGCGGGGGCGGGGGAGTTTGGGGGGAGGGCGGGGGAGGGTGCGGCTCGGAAGAGACACCTGCGCTGCTCTGCGCCGGCGGAGGTGGGGGTAGGAATGGGGGCCAAGAAAAGGCCTGTGCAGGTCCTGGTGACCACTTGGCTTCCAGTTTCTCGGAGGAAGGAGAGACCACTCACCCCATCTCCTTTCCAAGCTGCACGACCCTCCCAGAAATCATTCACTACCGGGACACACCCTCGGTTCTGGCATTGCTATTCCCCCAGCAGAGCTTGGTGGGAGACAACCCCCTCCCCCAGCACTGTCCGCAGAGCTAGCCCTGCATGGAGGCATGGAAGATGGACAGGCTAGCCTGGCCAAATGCAGGGGGTAGAACGTGTGGGTTTTTTTCACCAGGCACCAGAGTAGAGAGCGAAGGAGGATAACTGAGGAGACTTCCCTGGCATCAGACAGAGGTTGTTGGCTCCCAGGGGCTCTGCGCCCTGCCCTTGTGCCATCAGCACCTGACCTCCTCTGCGATGCTCCCTTCAGTGTTGAGAGGCCAGGGCTTAAGTCAGACTGGCCTGGGGGTCTCAGAGGCCGTCTGGCCTGGTTCAGAGCCTGAGGGGTGGGAGTCAGGGAGCCACAGCCCCAGTTGCACCACATCTGGTCTGTCCTCAGGAGGTCAGCTAGTAACCTGATCATTGTCCAGGCCAGGAGCCCTTCCTGCTCCCTGCCTCACCGTGGGACTCCTTGGACCAGGGACCAAGGGCTGGTGGATGGCGGGTGAGGAAGTGCCTACTCTCCAAGGATCAGCCAGCACCCAGGACTGCTGGGTGCAGGGAGCAGGTGTGCAGCGGGCGGGAGGGAGGAAATGGCTGCCCCTGCGGCCCACCCTCACCTATCCCGGGCCTGGACTACATCCCCTGGCCTGGCGGTCCCGCCGACCCCCTACCCCTGATCCCCTCTTAATCCCTACAAATCCTCTGAACCTTTGCCACGACCCGGGCACGGGCCATTTCTCGGCCCCAGGATCAGAGGCGAGCGGGTGCAGCTGTGCGGAGCGCGAGGGGTGGGAGGCCTCACGGAAGGGGACGTCCATCACGGGCGGGAGACAGAGGTGAAGACGTGAAATGGCAGTAGCGGCACTGCCCCGTGCCCCTTTCATCCTAGCGCCTCGGAAGTCGCCCCACTTTACGGACTGGGAGCCGAGGAACCGCAGGGTCGGACGCGGAGCGGGTCGGGCGAGCGGCGGACGCGAGCGGGAGGAGCTCGGCGGGCGGATGCTGCCACCTGGCGGCCACACGGCGCGACGCTCGCACGCGGGCAGCCTGGGCCGGGGATCGCGGCGCCGGGTCCGAGAGGCGGGCAGTGCGAAACGGTGCCTGGGGGCCACCCCGTCCGTGGCGCCAGCAGCCGCAGCTTGGCGTCGGTTAACAGGGCCAGTCCCTGGACCTGTCAGGCCGCGGGGGGCTGAAGCAGCCCGAGCCTCGCGGCCACCCAGCCCCAGTCCCGCCCTGGGCCCCCAGCGGGGGGCGGGGGGGGCGGAAGAGGAGGGGTGACAGTCCGCGGCTGTTAGGGACTTGCCCTGCCCCTCAGTTGCCCGGGGAGAGCGGGAGGAAGGATGCGCCTCCGACCGGCCCGAGAGCCTGCGCAGCGGCGTCCTGCTGCCCCCTGCCGCCCGTGCGAGGGAAGCGGCCGGGTTGGGCAGACCGCCTGGAGACTGTGGTTCAGGGTCCCACCCGCGGGTGGGGGACCCTGAATGACTGAAGGTGGGAAATGGTGCAGGAAGAGCCCTGGCTGGCGCACACAGAGGCGGGGCCACTCCCCAGCCTAGGCTCCTAGGATGTCCCATCCTCTAGATCTGTGACCACTACCGGTCCCCACCCCATAAGGCATTGCAGCTTGGACAGGATGGTGGCCGGGTCTGGCTCCATGGGTCCCTGCAGCGTCTGTAGGGATACGAGGAGACCTCACTTGCCAGAGGTGGAGCCGGTGCTTCTTCTGGGGCAGGGCTTTCCCAGTTATGGATGACTATGGAAACCTGCCAAGGCCCAGAGGCAGAAGTCCCCAGAGTCAGGACACCCTGGGGCCAGAGGGGTCTTAGGTCCCCCTGTGGGCTCAGTGGGGCTCTGCTAGTTCTTAAGGTGTGTGGCCTCGGGCAAGGCTCTCACCTCCTCCAGCCACAGAGGCACCATCTTCATGGTAGTGCCCACGCCCCAAACGGAGTGAGGAGTGCCTGGCACGCGTGGGCACTCCATCCCTGCAGGTCCGGTGTCCTGACCCTACAGTCCTGCGTGGGGCAGAGCTTGGGGTGGGGAGCAGGATGAGCCAGAGGAGGCCTCCCTCATCTGTCAGGCCAGGCCCAACCCGCAGCCCCGCGGTTCCCAGGGAGGGTGGTGGGGAGCTGCCTGTCTCAAAGCAGGTTAAGTCTCTGGTTGCATGGGAAGAAGTTCCTGGGCCCGGTCCAGTTCTCCTTGAAGCATGGGGTAGAGGCCCGTGGGTCCACCCTGCCATGCCTTCCCATGCAGCCCACCTGGAAAGTGCAGCCTGGGAGCTTCTGCCCTCTTCTCTGGGTACAGGGACTCGAGCTTTCTGGTTCTCTCGGTTTTAAGCAACTGCCTCCACCAGGTTCTGCCTTCTCTGCATGGAAGGCTTCCTGGAGGAGGTGACCTGTCAGACTCTCATCTGGAAGAGCATGGTTCCTTTGGGGAGAAGCAAGGCTTTGGTGGGAGTGAGGGGTGGGTGTTGAATGCCCACCACAGACCTCAGGCTTGACCTTGAGTCCATAGGAGCCACGGGTGGGACTACACAGGCAACGTAGGTTTCCAGTTTAGATCATACCAGGGTCCATGGCACCGCCTGGGCCTGAGCCAGGGTCCTCCGGAAGCCCGGAGGCCAAGGTCGAGTCTGACTTTCACCCATGTCCCCCAGGTCTAGAGCAGAGCCAAGGAAGAGCCTCGTGAGAAAGATGGGTGGATGGTGGCTGGAGGCATGCAAGGATGGGTCTGGAGGTAGATGGCTGCGTGATGGGTGGGCGGGTGGGGATGGACGGATGGATAGGTGGACCAAGGGGTGGATGGGTGGATGGAATGTCCCAGAATTGGTCCAGGGGCAAAGAGCCCTGGCAAGAAGCTCCTGGGCAGGGTCCCACAAGGACATTTTGTGGGGGATAGGAATATTAACAGTGGCTGTCATAATACCAGTCCACATTTAGTGACCAGGTGCTGTGCGCTGAACCGCATGCTCCCTGTTCACCTGTGACCTCACTGAGTCCTGGCACAACACCCAAGAAAGCCTACCCTGACCTTCAGGCTTTGCGTTACTTGTGTGTCCACTGAACAGTGCCGCTGCCGCCGGGCGGGGTGGACTCCCTGCTCCATCAGCCGTGTGACTTTGGCCAAGCACCTTCCTGTGGGCCTCAGTCTCCTCCTCCGTACAATGAATCTCCTTCCCTGGGGCCACACACTCAAGGTGGGGTCAGGAAGGGCTGGGGGCTGTGCCAGTCATGGGACATGAGGACCACATAGGGGTGGGCAGCAAGAACCTGGTGCTGCTGGAGATGGGGGGCTGAGCTCAGGCTCAAGGTCAGGTCCCTGTGTGGTCTGGGCTGCAGCCTGGCGTCAGCAGGGGCAGCTTCCCAGTAAGACGGCCCTGCACAGAAGGAAAGGTCTTATCATCTCGTTGGTCTCCCTAATGGGAAAATAAATGGACGCCCAAGGAGGAGTTGGGCCTTCCGGAGCCCCTGGTTGGTGCCCACCCATCACAGCACTGCACCCAGCCACTAACCCAGACCGCGAGGCCGAGCACCCAGCCCCCAGCACCCAGGGCCCAGGGACGAGCTGGGTTGGGGTCTGAGGGTGTCAAAGCCAGACGCAGGTCTTGGACCTTGTCCTTTGGGGCCAGGGCCCCTGGTCTCGGCTGCCTGCCCAAGCAGGACCTGCTCAGCGGGCTCCGTGGGCATTTAGGACTGTTGGCTGTCAGGAGTCGCCGTGTCCCAGCATGCTCAGCAGGACACCTGGCCTCCTCCCACCAGACACCATGGCTCTCCTGGGGCGTGACAGCCCAGAGTGTCTGCAGACATTCCAAGGTCCCTGGGGGCAGAGCAGCCCACCGAGACACACTGGTCTAAGTTAGGAGGTTCAGAGTTTTCAGGGTAAAGCACCCAGGCCTGTGGTCCCCAGGACATGGCCTGGTGGCCCAGCTCACGCAGGACCAGGGTAAGGTATAGTCTTAAGGAATCAGAAGAAAAGTCCGACCAAGCAGCTTCTCATTAGGTGACCCGGGTTCGCAGGCTCTGGTCCCACGGAGGCCTGTTGGCCATGCCTAGTCGTAAGGGAGGCCGGGAACGGGCTGGGCTGCGAGGCTGGCCGGGATGGCTAGCACTGTCCCCAGGGAGGAAGGACGATGGAGGACGGCTGGCGGTCCCTGGCCTGCTCAGCTGTGGTCCCCCCGCCGTCCTCTGCACTCTCCCGCCTGGCACCCCTCATGTGACTCACGAGGTCCTGGGGCCCTCGTGCTCCTGGCCTAGGAGGTGTGGTGCAGGACACCTTGCAGCACTGACCAGCAAGGCCTCCCACTGTACCCCGATCCAGACAGACTGCCCGCATTGTCCACTCGACTTGTGTGCCCCCCTCCAGTCCTGACGAGGGCTGGCTACACAGTAGGGCCACTCCAAACAGTGGAGTTTAAGCAAGAGAGATCTATATTTTTGTTTCTGAGAAAAGAAGCCCAAATGTAAGCGAACTTGAGCTGACGTAAAGGCCACACGCACCGTCAATGAAGGGAAAGCGAGGAACGAGAGACGAGTAAATGAGAGATGGAAGACGGAGAGCAGGCAGGGACACACGGGAGAGTTGGTCTGTCCAATAAAGGCCGTCTCTCTACAGGAGAGAGGGCAGCACGGGCTTGGGTTCTGGCACTTCCATGGGACAGGCGGGTGGCTAGGGCTGGGTTGGCGTGAGGGAGTGGTGAGCCTTTCTCAGAAACGCCCTCGGGCAGGAAAGGGACACTTTTTCCTTAAAATGGTGGCTGTCACTTAAGATGGCTAAGCAAGGACCTTATATTCCCCCATTTTTTGTTTTTTATTGGGTCCCTTAGGGACAGGTCACTCTTCTGTAACTGCTTCCTGCTGGGAAGGGGTGGCATTGGAGTCCCTCCTTTGAGGCCCGGGATGTCACCGGAATGATGACGGAGGTGGAGTGGTGGGGGACGGCTGTCCCCTGCGGCCCAGTTTTGGTGAGGGGTTGGTATTCCTGTAACAAAAGCTGGTTGATAGTTTGGTTAGAAATTTCGGGGATCTGGTCTGGATCCCTTCTAATGTCGCGGGGGCAAGCATTAGCAGAAGGCCGATGACCGGGAGAGGGTCAGGAAGGGGAGTGGCGCTGGAGAAGGGGTTTGCCACAGTGAAGGCTCTGATGGGCAGGGTTTCAAGGTGAGCACTGGGGAAAGGGAGACTGGGTCTTCCACCAGGGAAACCTGTAGCCATCACAGGCGGGGGGTCAGGAGTGAGCCCTGGTGGGTGAGGAGATCCTTCAGGTGGCGGGGAGCCGGGGTGGTGAGTGGGGCCCCAAGGTGGGCTTCTCTGACTCCTTAATGAGTAAGAGGCTGCGGCCAACATTCGTAGGCCAGGGGCCCATCCCGAACAGTAGGGTCAAGACCCTCCCATAGATAAGCCACGGGGGCAAAGGTCGGGCCCAGCATGCGTCCCCGAGGACCCCTAGAGCAGATCCCTGCTTTTCAGGCACCTGAAGGTGAGGTGGGCGTGTGAGCTCAGGGAGATGGAGAGAGGGGCTGGAGGAGGCCTGCGGAGCTGGTGAGGGGCTCTGCCACAGAGGCAAGAGGGTTCAGAGAGGGGCCCCGGCCGCATCATATAGAGGCTTAGCCAATATGGAACCCAGGCTCTGGGGAGCCCCGCCACACCCAGAAAGGGGAGAATGTCCTCCCCAGTGGAGGGGTTGGTGTGTTAGTATGAGGCCCTGTCTGTCGAGCGTCACGGCTGTGTGTGGGGCCAGGGGGAGGCCGAGGTCTGTCACCATGGCCCAGGACAGCTGTTCCTGGGATGCAGAAGCCCTAGAGCCTGGGCAGAGAGGAAGTGGAGAAGTTCACGGGTGTCCTGTTGGCTGGCCTCAAGGCGGGACTGCAGAGGAGGTCATCCACATGCTGTGGTGCCCGGGCCGAGTGAGGTGCAGGGACGCTAGGTCCTTAGCCAAGGCCTGTCGAAGGTATGAGGGCTGTCCCGGGCCCCTGGGGGGGACTGTCCCCGTCAGCTGAGTGAGTTACAGGACCCAGGGTCTGTCCGTGGGAAGGAGAAGGTGTCCTGAGGGTCAGAATGGGGGGTAGAGAAGACGGCACCTGTCAGGCGGGCACTGAGCAGTGAGAGGTCCCGGAAGGAGTGGTGGAGAGAGGGGTGTAAGGGTTGGTGACCGCGGGACGGAGCTCTTGGGCCAAGCCGTAGGAATCATTAGGCCTTTTCCCTGCCAAGATGGGGGCCATAAGGGGATGAGGAGGCCTGAGGAAGCCCTTTCACAAGAGTCTTGAATGACAGGTGTAAGCCCAGGAGTTTCTGTGGGGAGAGCGGGAGCTGTGGTTGGCCAGAACAGGAGGGGGCCTTTGAGATGGATGTGAATGGGCTCAGGGTGGGAGGCCTTGGCAGGACTTGAAACATCCCGGACAGTAGGGTCCCCCTGGGAAGGGGTAAGGGGAGGCCCTGGCAGACCCAACAGGGGATGGTCCTGAGGTCAGGGTGAGGAGCAGGGCAGCGGCTGGCGAGGCTGGGTAGAAACGTCTATGAGGGGAGAAGGAAAGCGTGGTCCCCAACTTTGTGAGGATGTCCCTTCCCATAAAGGGACCAGGGCACTGTGGAATGACCGAAAAGGAGTGGGTGAAAATGAGAGAGCCAAAGCACCAACAAGCCTAGGTGTCTGTAGGGTTGGTGCATTTGCCCTCTACCCCACAATAGAGGTCACAGAACGGGGGGCAGCCCTCAGATCTCCTTGAGGACTGGAGGGGGAGCCCTGGTGCCCAGGAGGAAGGACACGGGCCCACATGAAGTATGCAGAGTCACCCTGGGCGCCCCTGGAGTGAGGGTAGTGGCCAGGTGATCAGACCTGGGCCTCGTCAGTCCCCTGCATCCAGCCCTAAGAGTCGGAAAGGGGAACCAGAATGGCTGCGGCCACTATGGGCCCGGGGACAGTTAACCGCCCCGTGTCCCTCCTGATGGCAGTTAAGACAAGGGCCCAGAGGCTTGCGAGGCGTGGTACATGTGTGAGCCAGTGACCCATCTGACCACATTTAAAACAGGGTCCGGGTGTTCCCAAGGGACCCTTCCACAGGCCAGTGGAACGGGACAGATGCCCAGGCCGACGGGTGGCGCGTCTCTGCTTCGGGGCCCTCTCGTCTCTGCTGTTCTACACCTTAAAGGCCACTCCCAGAACCTCAGCTTGGGTGTTAGGGGCCCCCTCTCGAGGCACCTCAGTGACCTCAGTGACAGGAAACTCTGGGGGGAAAGGTAGTCACTGAAGTGCTCCCACCTGGAGTCTCAGGTCCAGGTTAGGGTTCTGTATTCAAGCCGGGGCCAGGGTCTAGAAGTGTGAGGGGGTCCATTCCTGTCCTGGAGGACTTCCTGGAGCCTTTCACGATCAGTGGCTGTGGGCTGCCTTTCTAAGCCCTGCCGTGAGGCAAGTGAGGATGGGCTTCTACCGGTCACTCGTCCAGGCGAACTAGGATCCCACCTGGGGCCCCGATCAGGAACCTCTCAGTGCCAGTCAGAGGGCCGGGGCCCAATGTGCCCCATCAGCATAATTTCTAGCTTGCTCCCCACCTGGCCTGCGCTCCTCCGCAGGAGGGTGAGGGCTAGGCAAGCTCATGTGGACGTCGTGGAAGGTCGAGGCACATGGTTGGGTCAGATACTGAGACGCTTTGAGGTTCGTGGTGGGGCCATTCAGAGTCCAAAGGCTATTGAGGCCAGATCTGAGGGCACACTGAAGCACAGGACCCAGGTGGCTTTTCTATCTGTGAAAGATGTGACAAAGGGAAATGCACAGGAACCCGGATGACCCCAGCCACCCCAGCCACCTCACGTAGGGGACACAGAGATGCGGGTTGGGCTGCGGCAGCCCGTGAGCGTGTCACAGGAGGAGAGAAGGGTGGAGGGGCGGAGGGGCGGAGGGGACGGTGGCTGCGGTGGCTTCGCCAGAAGGAGAACTGTGGTATGGCAGGGGCTCATCCTCTGGTCGAGGGAGAGAGTCCTGGGTAGGACCTTCTGTCCCTTTGGAGGCAGGCCCAGGGGAGGGGAGAGCTGAGCCGACTTGTGGGGACAGCAGGAGCTGCAGAGGGAGGGCTTAGACCCAGGGAGGAGAAGTCTGAACGCGGGGATCTCTCTCCGTTTCCCAGACCACTCACCATAGCCGAGAAGATCCCTGATCACACTGGATCTAGAGTGCCGCTAAGCGGCCGTTCAGCGGCCAAAGGGTATTGAGGCCAGATCTGATGGCACAAGTGGATAAGTTTTGGGGGGTGAGAGAGAGGGACCCTAGGTTAGCCAGGAGGCAGCCTGGGGGACCATGGGCGGGAATGGATGAGAAGCCACCCACGGTGACACGGGGGAGGTGAGTCGAGAGGTGGGACGTCCCCCAGTCTCTAGTGTCACCCAGTCCAGAGGATGGTCACACTCAGGGGGTCAGCGTCGGGGCAGGAGCCCGTGGAGCCACCGGGGTGCCCGGCAGGGTCTACGTAGGGGGCAGAAGCCGTAGAGATGAACCCAAGGCCGAGAGGTCTCACCAGGGGCACCTCCCAATCACCCTGGGTGGTTTTTCCTTAAAACAAAAGACCCAGTGGACAGCAGGGACCCGCCGTAGCTGTGAGAGCTCAGGCTGGGGGTCCCCAACCAAAGGTCATCTCCCGGGACCTGCAGGGGGTTTAGGTCGACCAGAGACAGGGGTCTTACCTGGAATGTCCAGTGGTGGGTGCGGAGAGGGTGTCCAGCAGAAGGGAGGGCCTGGTCCCATGATGAACTCTGATCGGGGCCCAGGGACACGCAGTGACCCTCGCGAAGAGGGGAACAGGCACATCAGGGAACCCGATCCCGGGTTTCAGCACCAAAATGAAGGGAAAGCAAGGAACAAGAGACGGGTGAGTGAGAAATGGGAGACGGAGGCCAGGCAGAGATCCACAGAGAGTTCACGGTCAGGGCTGACCCATGAAGGCCGTCTCTCCATGGGAGGGAGGGCAGCACAGGCTTGGGTTCTGGCACTGTTATGGTCAGGCTCAGGAATCAGAGCCAGACAGGACCTAATGTGGGTGGTTAGGGGTGGGGTTGGTATGAGGGTGTGGTGAGCCTTTCTCAGAAATGGCCTTGGGCAGGAAAGTGAAACTTTTTAATTAAAACGCTGGCTGTCACTTAAGATGGCCGTTCAGATGCTGAGCAAGGACTCACAGTCAGGACTCAGGCTCCTGCCAGCTCATGGCTCTTGCCTTCAAGAGCGTGTGGCCCTTCACCAGAGATTCCAAAATGGCTGCCAGAGTTCTTGCCATCACATCTTCCATCCAGGCTGCCGAGTGGAGGAAGGACCAAAGAAGAGCAACCTCTGTCCATTCCTGGACATCCCACTTGGTATTTCTACTTACTTTTCGTTGATCACATGACCACATCTAGCTGCAGTCAAGTCTGGGAGGTATCTTTTAGTTGAGCTGCAATATGACCAGGTAACGTAGGAGCTCTTCTGGGTGACCCTTGGTGCATGCATGTAATCCCAGAGACTCAGGAGGCTGAGGCAGGAGGATCACAAGTTCGAGGCCAGCCTTCACAGCTTAGGATGCTGTGTATCAAAATACAAGCTAAATAGGGCTGGGGGTGTAACTCAGTGGCAGATGGCCCTGGGTTCAATTCCCAGGACAACAATAATTAAAACAATAACAATGACAAAGTAGGAGCTGTCAGGAAGGAGGATGGCCGGTGGGCATTGGACATCAGCACTGTCTGCCACGCCCACTGCTCCTGAGCCCACAGCTTGCCCTGATGCCCCGTCCTGGGTCCACCCAGGTCCTCCCTGGGGCCATCCAGCCCAGCCCACCCAAGTTCCTGAAGCACAAGCAGAAAGAATGAGGGGTAGGTGCGACCCCCACCAGCCCCCCTCAGGACAGAAGGGACAGGAGGCTCGGTCTCACAGGGACACTGACGTGCCCTCTGCTCCCACCCGGACTCCACCGGACGCCTTGCATTTCTCGTGCCTTAAGTCAAGTGTCTTCTCTAGAAGACAGGACGGAGCCGGCTCCCGGCCTTCAGGGGCTGATGGGGGATGGGGGACAGGGACTGACCTTCTGCAGCGGGACGAGGCTGTGGCCAGGAGCCTGCTGGCCAGGTTGATCTGAAGTCACAGGTGCTGGTTCTCGGTCTCGGGCACAAGAGCCAAGCCCGGGGCCAACAGCAGGCCTTCCCTCCCCACCGGCCACGTGGGGTCGTGGACAGCCAGGAGTCCCCGTGGGAGCTGAGGCCCTGGCCTGGAGGTGGGGAGACCAGGGCTGACTGGGGAGGGGCTGCCCAGCTCCCACGTGGCCAAGGGAGGGGAACCCGGCACGCTGCCCCCGTCCCGAGGCCCTGGGTTCCGGCACCCCACCCAGGCTCACCTGCAGCCAGCAGGCGCCCATCAGCCATGGCCTGGGGCCCGGCCAGCTCTGTGGGCTTCCTGCCGGCTCCTGTCCCACCCAGGAGGCCCGGACTCCTCAGCCCCCATGGGGACATCTCATCACTGAGAAGGACGTGCCAGGTGTCCGGGCTGACTGTCCTGGCCTCCCCTAGCACCTGCCGTGAAGTTTCCGATTGTGAGCTGGATGGGAACCCAGGTCCCCATGCAGCCCTGTGGGCAAGACTCTGTGCCCACCTAAAGCCCACATCACCAGCCCACTTGAGGGACGGCCTAGGCCCCAGCACGGGGCTGCAGACCTCGGGTCACCATGGCTGGCGCCCAGGGCCACAGAACAGAAGCGGGGGCAGGACGTGTAGACCGCGGGACCCAGGGATCTGTGACTCAGGCTCTCTCATGACTCTGTGCCACCTGAGTTGTGGGGTACAGGGGGCCTTTGGTGGACGTCTGGCACACACGGCGGCACACACAGAGACATTGTCATTATGAATGACAATAATTTCAAAATTGGGGTACCTTGAGGGTTGCTGCCGTCATGGACACTGCTGGGCACCCCTGCCTGGGCAGGGGCTGGCTCCTCTTCGGAGCGGGTAGCACTGGGCTGGTGGGCGTCCACATTGCCCTTCTCCACGGGCAGCCGGCGTCCCTGTGGAAGACTGGGCAGGTCCTGCAGGTGACTCAGCTCTCAGGAGCGGGCAGTGAGAAAGCCCAGGCCCAGCCCAGGACAGGCCCAGCCCCAGAGAAAGCGGAGTCCTGCCCCCTGACCCCCAGGCCACCGAGAGCCGTGAGTCCCCAGCACCCCCCTTCTGCACACTCGGCTGTCCTGCTCCGTGGAGATGTGGCCCTGGCTACTTGGCCCTGGAGGGGCCGGGCCGCACCCTACCTCATCGGGCAAGAGGACTCGGAGGTCCCGGTGGGCACCATTTCCCACCCTCTCCTGGGAAAGCGGAGGCTCGGCCGCATCAGGAGGAGGTGGACCCGGATCCCACAGCTGGTGTGCGAGGTGGACTGGGCTGGGGACTGGACCCGGAGCCCTGTGGGAGCAGACACGGGGCTGTGTCACGGGCACTGCAGGCCCCTGGACTACTGACCCACACCTGTTCCTGGGACAGTCTGGTTGACAGGACCTGTCCCTCAGGAGCACCTCTCTGGCCAGAGAAGTGTACAGACTTCCTGAGGCCCAGAGGCCACAGGGCCACCGTGACCCTTGGTGCAGGCAGGGGGGCCTGGAGGAGGCAGGGATGTGGGTGCTCGGGGGCCGGCACCCCGTGCCAGTGGGGAGCGTGGAAGCTTCCAGGCCGGCCTCGCTGGGGCCACTGTGCGGCAGGGCAGGCTCACGCCGAGGGCCACTGGAGGAGGAAGGGGTGGGACGCCTGCGTTGGACGGATGGCCTTGCTGCCCCACCTGTGGGCAGACTCTGTGCTCTGGAGATGCCATGGAGACCACGGGAGCCCAGCAGGCGTGGCCAGGAGTGTTCAGGGCAGGCCGGGGCCGGGGCAGAGGCAGCCAGGACAATGACCAAGAAACGCTCTTCCTGGCTGAGGGGTGGCGTGGAGCCGCCTGGCCGGCTCGGGGCCCCCACGGGCCTGGCTCACACCACGCCGGGCGAATGGCCCCCTGAGAAGCTGGGGTCTTCCTGTCTGTAAAACGGGGTGGTGAGGGCTGGGACGTAGCTCAGCTGCAGAGCGCCTGCCTCGCGTGCACAAGGCCCTGGGTTCCATCTCCAGCGTCCCAAAAACTGGGGTGATGATGCGTGTCCTGCCCCAGTGAGGTCCTGCGGGGACCTCCCTGGGCTCCAGGAGCTTGGACACTATGCCCCTCACCAAGACACCAGCCCGGCCCCGCAGCCCGGCCCCGCAGCCGGGCCCCGCCTGCTCCATCCAGGCGGAACAACCCAGTGGCCTGGTACCCTCTTCCTAGATGTGTCCTCAGCCCTCCTTCCCCAGGAGACTCCTGAGAGTCCTGCCCAGTGGAGTGGTGGGCGTCTCCTCCAGCGAGTCCTCCCAATACCCCTTCCCTCACCTTTCACCCTGCAGCCCTCCGCCTCAGCCAGGATCTCACAGGCCTCAGGAGAAGCCTCTGGGAGCCCTGGGGCTGGTGGCCAGCTCCACCATACCTGACCACCCGCTCTCCCCGGAGTCAGGCAATGCCTGAGGCATGTGTGGGAGGCACACAGTGTGGCTGCAAGGCAGGGCCACTGTGGGCTGCCCATTGCCAACCCCTGAGGGGCTCCTTTGGTGGTGGTGATGACGGGTGATGATGGTGATGATGATGGTAATGAGAATGGTCATGGTGATGACAGTGTTGGAAGCAGTGGTGACAGTGATGGTGGTGGCAGAGTTGGTGATGGTGACATGGGGATGGTGGTGATAATGATGATGGTAGTGATGGTGGTGATGGAGATGGTAGTGGTGATGGTGTTGGTGATGGTGGTGATGGAGGTGGTGGTGGTGGTGGTGTTGATGATGATAATAGTGGTAATGGAGATGGTGGTGATGGAGGTGGTAGTGGTGGTGACAAGGATGATGGTGGTGATGGAGATAGTGTTGTTATTGGTGGTGGTAGTGATGGTGGTGTTGGAGATGGTGGTGGTGGTAATGATGGTGGTGATGGAGGTGGTGGTGGTGGTGGTGGTG